CACGTGCTGGTAGCAGCCCATAACACTGCCGGTTGTATTAGTCCTACGCTTCTTGCCATGGACCGCTGAACGAGCACGAGTAATAGGCTACCAGTCAGAAATCTTCCGCTACAGCCGACTGTAGTTCTAAGCCGTACATATTCTTTTGTCATGACTCGCATCGCGACACCTTCGTTCACAGTGAGGCGTGTTCTGTCTTGTTTCGTGGTTGTCTCACGGTCGATGGCTCGACATTCTTCGAATTACATAATGGTGGCTGGCGAGTGGTTATATCGTTACTGTGCATATGCCAATCTGGACGCATGGCAAGTATTGATGATAGCCTGCACTAAAGGAAGATCACACCGAATGTTGCATATGCGGAGTGGAGGTCAGGTTCATCTCTTCGACACGTTGGCGTTTCCCTGCTTCGAATAGGAATTAACCTGGACTCCTTTCCACCTTGCCTTCCGCTTGAACATCACCTGCTTGGTCACTCTGCCGATATCGCACCTGTCGTAGTTCTTATCGACCTCTCAAACCACCAATCGGAAGCCGTCTCTGGGTGCAAGCGAGAGACCAAAGCGTGCAACTGATTTACGGCCTCCAGTTCCAGAACGCCTGTATGAAATAGGTAGAGTTCTGCTCCGATGGCTTCTAGTATAACTGGCAGCTGAACGGCAGCTTCAAGTGACTTCGGACGAGACCACATCACTGAAATATGCAGTCGGTATCCTAACTAATCCATGAAGCCGCCCTACGGCAACTATTCCGTGACAGCTGCAGTCTGCTTGTTATTCTTTAACGACTGTCACATCCGTTTCAGCGGGCTCCGGCAGTGACTCTGGCCACACCCGAAGACACCAAGCAATGCTTTGAAACATACATCTTGCTCGTCTGGACTGAACCTTCGTCGCAGGACATCATGATGTCCGCGAGACGCTGCTCAATCCATCATTTAGACAGCCCCATATCACAAGGCACTTCCTCGTAAGTGGCGCCAAGATGTTCTACCTCTTTCCACCTGTTCGCTCTGGCGCAGAGTTTGAAGTGTGTCAGCCACGACTCCAGATGTTGCTTTACAGTGTATAACAGTATACGAGACAGCATCACAGAACCAAGGCACTTTTTGGAGTTCAATGATGCTGCCACGCTCGTCATCGTGAACTCCCTCCTTTTTGACTCCGTTTCATACGCCTCATTCAGTTCAACAAAATTTCACATAAAAGTCA